GTGGCATTGACCTAATAATGTTTTGAATAAATTTCTGTAGACTTGATTTTTGAAGCGGTTGATGTTTGGTATCTCTTCATTTCTTTTCAATATTCACCTACGATTTTCAAAATAGCTCAGATCTAGAGTACAAAAAGATTACATAAAATATAGACGTAGACTTTTACGAGTATTGGAAAAGATTCAGTATGATAACTACTTCTCAAGCTCTGGTTTTAAATACCTGAATTTTCTGCGCAGGTATTTCAGTAATCTCAAAAATAATTTCGGATAGTTTTCAAAAAATATTACAGAGTCACATAAAATGGGGCTAGTTTAAAATGCTATAATTAATCACTCCTTGAAGTTCTTAGGTTTATTTTTTAACGACCACGTAAAGTGGATTTAACTTAACCAAGGAGACTGCCCTAGATCTTGAGTTCGACTTGTTTATTATTATTTCCTTTAAAAAGTACCAATAACATTTTCCAGTATTTTCTTGAACCTATTTAGCATTTTTTTTCCCTAATAATTAATGATTCTCTCTCGTGCTAATTAATATATATTTGTCATTTTCAAACATAAAGTACGTTCCTCAAATGATCAAAAGGATGAATGAATTAATGTATGTAACCAAGGAAACTCTCTTAGAACTCGAGTTCGACATGTTTGCTAATGATTCTCACAAAAATACCTTGAACATTTTCCGGTATTTTTAAAAATAATTATAAAAATAATTTAAATATTTTTGTTTTCAAAATTAATGAATCTCTCTCATGCTTATTTGTCACGCTCAAAATTCGAACATAAAACTACATTTCTCAAATGGGCAAAAACATGAATGAATTACATCAATCAATGAATGCCCTTTTAAACGAAGTATTTAAACAACATATTTTTTTTTGAGCAATTTGATATTATTACGAAGAAATATTGCTTTGTAAAAATACAGAAGACACGAATACTTTGACTCTATTGAGTATACATTATATTTTTTAGTAGTGATCACGTCGTTTTGAAACTTATTATACCCAAAATTGGTTCAGAATGTTTTGTTTATTAAGAAATTCTGTGAATGTATTACTTATAAATCGAAGTCAAAATAAAATAAAAAAAATTATTTATTATGAAAAATGTATCAGTAATTATAAACATATTTATCCCTACATACATAGGAAAAGATCCTGGCACGGCACTTCCTCACGACAGAAAATTTGTAGTTTTTACCAACAATGCTGGAACCATGCATTGGATAATTCTTCTAGCTTCACTCAACACTAAGAGAAGAGTACGTGAAATTAGTTCCGTCATAAAGAAGGCGATTAGCACATAGTGATCACCAAAGAGTCGCCCAAGAAAAACGTACAATTGAGAATCATGGACCTCTCATATTGATCCCCTCTTAGCCACATCATGGTTCGTTGCGAGGCCATTATGTGTATATTATTTATTAATTGAAAAAAATAATCAGTTAATATAATCAATCAAAAGGATGTTGTTTGCATTGAGATTAGATCTATAGAAATAATTAGTAGTTCCTCCTTGGTCCTTGAGAAAAATACTTGAAGATTAAATACCGAATGTAGGTCGCCTGCTGATTGGGGGCTATAATTAGATTTTGAAATATTTACCCTGCGGTGTTTGCTTCACTACAGTTTGGCCTTTACCTCGTCCGAAAAAAAAAGTTCCTTTTATTCTGCAACGTTGGGCTATTCAAGACATTGGCACTTTTTAGTATATTTTACTTATTTAGGTAAATGTTTTATGCTGGATATTCCGCAAATAGAGGGAAATATTTATAAGAGTGATAGCAGACCTCAAAAGCTACAAAAAAGTATATATAAACATTTTACATAATTGGTAAATGGTTGACTGTCGTGGATAATGAAGAGAAGAATAGTTGCGGTGTTCAGTCAAAAAGGAAGGCAAAAATAAATGATAATATTTATTTTTACATATGCCGACGTTTCGACCTGAAGTTCAGGCCATCATCAGGGCTAAGAAAAGAACCAGATAACAAGGTATGAGAAATATAAAAAAATTAGAGTAAAATGAAGTTGTTAGAATAATGACAATAGTAAGAACAAGAGACAAATAATAACAACAGGTACAAAGTGTGGAATGATGAAGTAAACATAGTCAAAAAAGGTGACATAAGTATTGTAAAGGTAATCTTAGAATAAAACGTAAAACAGTTTGTACCTGTTATTATTATTTGTCTCTTGTTCTTACTATTGTCATTATTCTAACAACTTCATTTTACTGTAATTTTTATATTTCTCATACCTTGTTATCTGGTTCTTTTCTTAGCCCTGATGATGGCCTGAACTTCAGGTCGAAACGTCGGCATATGTAAAAATAAATATTATCATTTATTTTTGCCTTCCTTTTTGACTGGCCACCCCAAATATTCTTCTCTCCATAAACATTTTACCTATTTTCGATAGAAATGTAGGAAATTTAAGTTTTTTTTTTAAGTGAGTCAGGATTTTTGTTGAACAGGAAGCGATAACTAAATGAATATTTTATTTACGTTATTAAAAACTGCTTCACTTTAAACTAGATAAAATTTACTTCAAATGGAAGCAGAGTTTGTCATTGTTAAAACCATTTAAAGAGGATTTTTAAGCTGCTGAGCAATAAATCATAAATTATTCGCTGTTTTTTTTCGTCTTCCTTTAATAATCCTACAGATATTAGAAAAAATTCTCCATTAATAAGCTTTACGTCCATATTAATTTAGTTGAGATTTATTAGATCAAAACTTGAGATTCACTTCACGTTTGTGTAAAAAAATGATGTGATTTTATATCCTATCACCTATAAGTACCCGTGTTTTCAGCAAAAATTATTTCAATAAATTGTAAATTTGTTGTGTAATAATAAATATAATTTGTTGTTTAAAGTTATCATATGAAAAAAAAAGATAAACTTCTAGTCTGGAGAGTGCTCCTTCCGCATTCTCCTTCCAGAAGTACAATCAATCATAGAATTAAACTGTTTAATATAACTGATTATATAATAATGTATGGCCTGATACAACTAGTGTTGCCCAAAATAGGTCTTGGTCTTGTACTTTGCAAGGTCAAGTCCAAGACCGCCTGACTGTTCCAAAACCGATACGAAGACTGGTAAATTGTTTTTGTGAATAAAAATTAAGGCAAAATATTTACTAATACTTGACAATTTTAGTTACTATATGTAAAGACTTGGTATAACCAATATACTTTTGCATTTAACTGTACCAGTTTTTCATTCGGGCTTAGGTAGGTTCCCCCTATCTGAAAAATTATAGTAATATCTCTATAGTAATAGGCTAATAGGTAACTGCAAGACTCTTGCGTAAGACCAACACTAAGTGTGCAAGACCAATAGCCCTGGAGCCAGGGCCCAAAAACGACCTGATCACAGGCGAAGGTTTGATTGTAAATTATGAAAGTGTATGTTATTCTGAGTAAAAAAAACCTTGTCAACCTGTAAGGCATAAAACCACGGTCAACCAACGCTTAACATTAGCAAATTTGTCAAAAACTGAGACAAATTACTATAAATGGCCCTATAACATGAAAATGAGTTCCCTAAGAGGAAAAACCCATAGAATTAAAGTTGTAGAACATCAAATTTTGCGTCCATTGAGTACTATCATTTTTATTTTAGGCCAGTTATATATCTTGAATCGGGATTCGTTAGTCCTTTATAAAATTCAGAATCTTTCGGCACATTGTTTACCAAAATCTTTTGCTGTTAAGAGGTGGAAAAGAAGCTTATACTGCATGTAACAGACTTCAAACAAAACCAACTCAGTAGAAAAGACACCCATACTGTTGAAATATTGAAAATCAGGTTTACCTTCATTACCAATTTCTAACCATCGATAGATTAACGATTTTTTTCGCATCCAGGGAAATTCTTTCGCATCCTACATTAAATTATTTTGTACTGAGTTGATGCAAAATTTGATGCTCTAAAACTTTGATTCTATGGGTTCTTCCACTTAGGGAACTCATTTTCAAGTTACAGGACCATTTATAGTAATTTTTCTCAGTTTTTGACAAATTTGATAAAACTCAGCTTTGGTTGACCGTAGTTTTATACCTTACGGCGTAACCAAATTTTAATGTTTATGTAATCGTTTGACGCAAAATTCAACGTTCTTTAATTTGTTAAAGAGTACATTTTTCGTTTTGATGCATTGCTTACGAGTTATAGGTGAAAAACCCAAAAAATATCGAAAAAATCTGAATTTTTTGGCTGTAAAAAGTTTTCCCTTGGTGGCCCGCGTTAGCAATTTTGTTTTTTACATGTCTAAACCCATATATACAAGTTAAATAAATAAAAACTTTTCTCACATTTTTTGCAATGGATTTCCCGTTTCGATCCTCAAATTATTGGCCTAATATATTTTAAATCAGCCGCCATTTTTGAAAGCAGCGGCTCCGGAACGGCAGACAAGGTTTTTTTTACTCAGAATAACATAAACTTTCGTAATTTACAATCAAACCTTCGCCTGCGATCAGGTCGATTTTTGGGCCCTGGCTCCAGGGCTACAAGACTCGGGAATGAGAAACACTAGATACAACCCATGTTAGCGATAGAAAATGATTTTTATATTCCTCATAGAACTGATCGTCATAAGAAAAGTAGTGAGAGTGGATAGACTAAATAGTTCAAAAACCCAATGTCCCCCACTGGCATTAATCCCCCACCCTCTCCCTTGGCCCGGGAAAATTCTGGTATAGCCTGAAAGGCGAGAGGAAGGGGTGGATAAAAAAAATAAATAAAGTATTTGAAGGTGAATACTTGATAATAATGATAATTCATACTCTTATGTAATGAATAATGAATTTGTTTTTTCGTTGCTTTCCACTGGAATGGTCTTTTCCTCTATTACATTTAGTCATAATAGTATCTATAATATTTGAACACAAACTAAGTAGGTCTCCTTGAAACAAATTAAGAAAAAAGTTTGTGCAATATAACCACGGTTTATTAAGAATATAAAAAAAGAAATAAAACATTACGTGTTCCTGGCTGCTGGTTATTATTGTTGGCATTAAGGGTTATCCCCTTGTCTCCGACCATCTCATCCCTTATCCGACATCTCTACACCCTCCTTCCTCTGAAAAAAAATAATAAAGAATTTAATATCGTGTATAAAATAAGTTTATTTATTTAACATTTAAATATTATATCATTAAATGTTTTGAGAAACGCTGTAATGATATTTATATTGGTTATTTATTTAGTTGCCTATCAGAGGAAAATGACATCGTTTTAAAGAGAAAATAATCTTTAATAATATTATTGGTGTATTGCGAAGTCATTAAATAATCACACTGTGCATTTAGTGTAACTATTTTTAACAAACAACATAGTATGTTTGATTTTGACATGCCTAATGAGTTTTTACATCTATAAATATTATCGAAATTCACAAATAAATTATTCGAGATCCAATCATATTTTTAACAGGTGTCATGTATTAGAGAACCATGATTATATTTTATTTAGTTTTTACCGTCTTTATTGTTAGAAATAGAAATATGTCAATTGATCAAAAATAATGGATGGAATATTATTTATTATTTTGGCTTTTAACCGTTAGTTTGCAATTTTTTGTTTATAGATAATACTCATAGTTTCATAAAAATATAGCGTCGTGACATGTCAATTATAAAAAAAAAAAAAAAATAAAATAAAATAATTGAACCTGTCTGCGATTTAGATGATTTTTGGCATATTATTTATAGTGAATCTATTTTTAAATATTATTTTTGGACTATTTTTAATATAGATTTTTTAATTGTGGAGACAGCCGTATTTCACAAAGTTTTTATAACAGAAAAGCTTTTGCACCAACTTCTGAGAATTAATTGGAACAAAGTTCTTTTGATGCTGCATTGTAGAAGGATAATTCATATTATTCAACATTTGTTTCATCCAAGAAAACATGATGGACGTACAAGATTTTAATAGAAAATTTTTCATTTTTTTACTATAATAACGATGATAATACAAGAATAACATCAGAAGTGGTGATTTTTTTAGGAACGCAAACTTTTAAGGGGTTACGAATTTATGGAGGAAACCGTATTTTTGGGAAACTTTCAAACCTTGGGACAAAGAAAATACAGGAATTACACCACTGCTAGTATTTGTAAATATACTTCAATTTTAAAAATACTGCGTTCACTTGCACCTCTTTTAAGAAAGGTGAACCGTAAAATTTCTTGGGAGGAAGGGTGCATATGCCATCGATCTTGGAGGGGGGAGATGACCACCTCTGTATAGCATATTCGTTTATTTATCCGAGAATACATAATTTTTTCATCCTGAAATTTGAAATATGATTGGAATATTCTAAGCAATATGTATCTCAATAGCCCATATTTGTGTATCTACGTTCTGGTTTGAGATTTTAAAAATTAAAAATGTTGCGAAAAAAAATAAAGAATACATATTTTGAAGTTGTTACATATCGAATGAAATAACGTATAATAATAATTTAAAAAAAACGCACCTCTACATTAAGGTGTAGAGTCTTCCGTTCAGTACTATGTGAGGATGTACTGTTGCAAGAACAACGGTTTGCAAGGAGGTGATAGGGCTAAGTCCACGCTCAACCACCATATTTCCCTCCTTAATTACACTTAAATAAGTGTAATTACGTGTGTAAGTGTAATTAAGTGTAATTAGTGTGTAAGTGTAATTAAGTGTAATTACACTTAATTACACTTAAAACGCACCTCTACATTAAGGTGTAGAGTCTTCCGTTCAGTACTATGTGAGGATGTACTGTTGCAAGAACAACGGTTTGCAAGGAGGTGATAGGGCTAAGTCCACGCTCAACCACCATATTTCCCTCCTTAATTAATTATTTAATTAAAAGTACCCACTTTAGAGAGGCTGGGTGTGCCCGCAGGAGGATCTCCCGATCCCAGGGTCAATCCACGGCTGATGTATACTAGTCATCAATCGGACTCGAACCTGGGACCTTGAGCTTGGGAGGTCAGTGCTCATCCACTGAGCTCCCCGCTCCTAAAATCTCCTTTAATAAATTTTATAATCTATCAAACTCCCCCCTACCGCCATTGTAATTACGCAACCGATTTTAGAAAAAAAACTTGTTGAAAATATAATGTAGAATAGAAGTAGCTGATCGTTAAAAAGCTGTTTGATATCTGAAAAGGGGTAAAGATGTATTTCCATGTAGGTGTTAGCAAACTGAAGAACAGGAGTACTACACGAATATTGAGTAACATATTGGGGAGAGGAGGGCCCAGAGACAGCCGCATTAGCAGGGGATGGACATTGGACGATAAGGGGCAACCTTGACCTGGGAGCACGCGAGGTGTCGTCCTTGCTCGCTCCGCCTCCCCTTCGCCGGATCCTCGCCCTTTTTCGATAGCCGCTCCCGCTGCTCGTTCCGATATTTCCGATAGCTCTGCCGCGCAGGTATATCGCCCTTGACGGAGGACAAACAGAGCATTCGTGAGCCCTAATGACCCATAATTCAACACAAGTGGGCGTTACTCAGCTGGGCCCATAAAGGATTCATTCTTCTCTAATCGCGTCATGCGCCCCAGATCTATTTTAAAAAATATAATGTTAATATTAAAAAAAAGTAGCCTTGGTTGGTTGTTTTAATGATTTAGTGAAAAACATCTAGGTCATCAGCGCCCGATCCATAAAATAATATTATTAAAATATTTAGCTGGTAGGTTTAATGAAAAAATATATAAGTACACATACGCACACACACATAATAGATAAATAAAAAAATAAATGAATAATAGATACAAATTTAAAAATCATAAATAAATTTTACAAAGTTATAATAAATAACTAAAATATATATAAAGGAAACAAAATTAAAAATAAAGGAAATTGTTAAATTTATTTATTTATTTAAATCTCTGCCCTGCCAGTTTGGCAATACGAGTGTTTGCAGTATTGGATAGCTAGACGTGTGTGCATAACTAGCCAATACTGCAATCGATACAATAAGATTTTCTGTTTAGCTTGGCTCTTCCATCCTCTGTGGTGGAGCTTCTTCTCTTCTACCCAAATAGAAGTGGGCTGGGCCAATGATGTCTTTCCACCCGTACACAAAGGCCTTGTAGTGCGGGTAGTTCTCTCTGGTCACTAGCTGAGGTAGATCGCGCTCTGATAAGACATAGAGCCCAGTCTCCCTCAGCAACTTAGCCCTCAATGCCTCATAGGCGGTACAGGCTAATAAGACGTGCTCGGCGGTCTCCGGTACCCTACAACTTGGGCATAGGGGATCAATGTTCTTACCATGTTGAACAAGCTTTGCTCGGAATCCCCCATGCCCCGTGAGGAATTGCGAGACCCAATAGTCCGGGAGGAGCCATGTAGTTTCCATTCTTGAACCGACGGTGGGGAAGTATTTCCTTAGGGTTGATCCTTTTGGCGTTGTCACCCAACGCCGGTTCCATTCTTCTAATGTGCATTCCCGGAGAATCCTCTTCCATCTGCTTGGGTCTTCACTGATCCTCACTCGGAGATTAGCCGGTAGATCCACCAAGCCATCTCTCTTCATTTCGTGCCGAAAGTAGTCTTCACGAAGTTGAAGATCAATTGGAATACTTCCGGCTAAGACTTGTACCGCCTCATGAGATACTGACCGGTACGCCCTAGTGACACGCAGCAGAGCCATACGCTGGATCGTCGCCAACCTTTTCTTCTGTTGGTGCGAGAGAGTCTGACTCCACGCAGGGGACGCATATCTCAGGATACCCAAGATAACTCCGTTATAAATAGCCAAAGTGGCTGGGTATCTGAGACCCCAAAAGGCGCCCCCGATGCGACTCAGTCCATTAAGAGCCAGGGCCACTCTACTTCTCAGATAGTCCAAGTGAGGGGTGAAGTTAAACTTTCTTCCAGTCCTTATCCCAAGATAGGTGACCGCCTCACTTGGACGTATCGTTTCTCTCTGTATATTCAGAGTGATAGGGTGGGCCCTGTCAGTCTTACCCCTCAAAAGAACGGACTGAGTCTTTGAAGCCGCCATCTTCATCTTCTTTCTCTCGCACCAGTCTCCTACAAGGTTGGCGCACCGTTCAGCCTCTTCCTTTAATCTGGCTCTGCTGTTCGATGCCACCACGACTGCGAGATCGTCTACGTAAGCAGTGGCGGGGAACCGCTGCTCTTCCAGTACTCCCAGCAGCTCGTCAAATACCAGTTTCCACAAGGCTGGACCTAGTACAGATCCTTGTGGGCATCCTCTTTCTACAGAATCCTCTACAGCAAAGAAGTTACCTTTTATCATTAATTTGCGGTCTTCTAGATAGCTTCTTAAGAGGTCGTACAGGTTGCTGGGAGCTTCATACTTTTGCAACTGCTGGAGTACACTCGGCCACCAAACGCTATCGAAGGCGGAGGATATATCAAACAGGAGAAGCATTACATACTTCTCCGCCTTCTCTTCAACGTCACGGCGCACCCTGAGCAGAGCATCTGCGGTTCCCCTACCTTTAGTACATCCGTACTGTCGTGGATGGCTAGCCCTTAAGAAGACTGGTCGTAGACTCCTCATCAGCAAGGTCTCCAACAATTTACTCATTATAGGAAGGAGACATATAGGCCTATATGACTTCGCTAACTGCTTGTCCTTATCTCCTCCCTTATAAAGGAGTCTAACATCAGCAATCTTCCATATTTTAGGGAAGTAACCCCTGTCTAGGCAATCATTGAACAATGCTAACAGCCTTTGTTCAATGTAGGGGATACTATTCCTTAGTATTGCTGTGTCTATCGAATCCAAGCCAGGAGCTCGACCAGTCCTTTGCCTATCCACGGCAGCACGGAGATCCCATATGTCCCATGGTGGGCATAGGTCCGTACCTGGTGGGCATACCGTAGTGCGTCTAATGTATCTCTCCTCTTCATTATCTTGGGACGGATCATCCCTGGGGTAGGTTTCCGCAATGAACGTTTTTGCCGTCTCCTCCAGAGTGGTTGCCTGAGTAGCTCCGCGTTTCAATGCGGCTATTACCTGTTGTGGATTTAACTTACCCAAGGCAACTCTGTAAGGGATACCCCAGGGGTTCTTGGACGATTCTTCAATAATGAACTCGTCCCAAGACTTCCTTTTTC